ATGCTGTTTAGATTGCTATAGCTTTGTAGTATATTTTGAAGTCAGGGATTGTGATGCCTCTAACTATGTTCTTTTTCTATGGATTGCTTTAGCTATTCAGAGTCTTTTGTCACCCCATATGAATTTTTGGACTCTTTGTTCTATTTCTGTGGAATGTCATTGGGATTCTGATTGGGATTGCATTGAATCCATAGATTGCTTTAGGTAGTATGGACATTTTTAACTATGTTTATTCTTCCAATCCAAACTATGTGCATGGAATATCTTTCCATTTCTTTATGTCACTATAAATTTGCTTCAGTAATGTCTTATAAATTTCATTGGATATGTCTTTCACCTCTTTGGTTAAATTCATTCCTAGGTATTTTATTTTTTTGTTGTTGCAATTGTAAATGGGATTGTATTCTTGAGCTCTCTTTCTGTTAATTCGTTGTTAAAGTATAGAAATACAACTGATTTTTGTAAGTTGATTTTGTACCCTGCAACTTTGCTGTAGCTGTTGATTATTTCTAATAGTTTTCCTATGGATTCTTTAGTGGCTTCTATATAAAATCATGTCATCTGCAAATAGCAGAGGTTCACTTCTTCCTTTCTAATTTGGATGCATTTTATTTCTTTTTCTTCCCTAATTGCTCTGGCCAAAACCTCCAGTACTACGCTGAATAGGAGTGCCAAGAGTGGGCACACTTGTCTTGCTCTTGTTCTCATAGGGATGGCTTTCAGTTTTTCCCTGTTGAGTATGGTGTTGGCTGTGAGTTTTTCACATATGGCCTTTAGTATGTTGAGGTAGTTTCCTTCGATATCCATTTTATTGAGAGTTTTTATCATAAAAGGATGTTAGATCTTGTCAAAATCTTTCTCTGCATCTATTGAGATGGTCATGTGGTTTTTATTCCTCTTTTTGTTAATGTGCTGTATCACATTGATTGATTTGTGGATGTTGAACCATCCCTGTGTCCCTAGTATAAATCCCACTTGATCATGGTGTATGATCCTTTTAATGTATTGTTGTATTTGGTTTGCCAATATTTTGTTGAGGGTTTTTGTGTCTGTGTTCACCAGTGATATTGGCTTGTAGTTTTTCTTCTTTGTATTGTCCTTGTCTGGCTTTGGGATCAGGGTGATATTGGCCTTACAGAATAAGTTTGGACATGTTCCATCTTCTGTGATTTTTTTTGAATACTTTGAAGGATAGGTATTAAATCTTTGACTGCTTGGTAGAATTCTCCAGAGAAGCTATCTGGTCTTGGACTTTTATTTTTGGGGAGGTTTTGGATTATTGTTTCAATCTCTTTTCTTGCGATTGGTCTATTCTGATTCTCTATTTCTTCTTGATTTAGTTTTGGGAGGTTGTATGAGTCTAAGAATTTATCCATTTCTTCTAGATTGTCCAATTTGTTGTTGGCATATAGTTTTTCATAGTATTCTCTTATAATCCATTGTATTTTTGTGGTATCCATTGTAACTTGTCCTCTTTCATTCCTAATTTTATTTATTTGAGACTTCTCTCTTTTTTTCTTGGTGAGTCTGTCTAATGGTTTGTCCATTTTGTTTAGCTTCTTGAAGAACCAGCTCTTAGTTTCATTGATCTTTTCTCTGATTTTTTTGGTTTCTGTTTCATTTATTTCTGCTCTAATTTTTATTATTTCCCTCCTTTTACTGACTTTGGGTTTTGTTGGTTCTTCTTTTTCTAATTTTCTTAGGTGTAGTTTAATATTGCTTATTTGAGATTTTTCTTGTTTGTTACGGCTGGCCTGTATTGCTATGAATTTAGCTCTTAGGACCACTTTTGCTGTACCCCATATGAGTTGGTATGGGGTATTTTCATTTTTATTTGTCTCCAGATAATTTTGATTTCTCCTTTAATTTCTTCATGGATCCATTGGTTGTTCAATAGTATGTTGTTTAGTCTCCACATGTTTATCCCTTTCCCAGCTTTTTTCTTGTAGTTTTTTTCTAGTTTCATAACATTACGGTTAGAGAAGATGCTTGATATGATTTCAATCTTCTTAAATTTTTTGAGGCTTGTCTTGTTTCCCAACATATGGTCTGTCTTTGAGAATGTTCCATGTGCACTTGTGAAGAGTGTGTATTCTGTTGTTTTTGAATGGAATGCTATCTGTATATCTATTAAGTCTATCTGATCAAGTGTTTCATTTAAATCCACTATTTCCTTGTTGACTTTCTGTCTGGAAGATCTATCCATTGATGTAAGTGGGGTGTTCAGGTTCTCTACCATTATTGTGTTGCTGTTAATTTCTCCCTTTAGTTCTGTTAATAGTTGTTTTACATACTTTGGTGTTCCTGTGTTAGGTCCATATATATTCAAAAGTGTCATGTCCTCTTGGTGGAAAGTTCCTTTTATCATTGTATACTAGTCCTCTTTGTCTCTCATTGTCTTTTTCATCTTGAAGTCTGCTTTGTCTGATATAAGTATGGCAACATCTGCTTTCTTTTGTTTGCGATTTGCTTGGAGTGTCATCTTCCATCCCTTCACTCTGAGCCCATGTTGTCTTTAGAGCTGAGATGTGTTTCCTGGAGTCGGCATATTGTTGGGTCTTGTTTTTTAATCCATCCAGCTACTCTGTGTCTTTTGATTGGAGAATTCAATCCATTTACATTTAGAATGATTATTGATATATGAGGGCTTAATATCACCATTTTATCTATTGTTTTCCGATTGTTCTATGTTTCCATTGTTTCTCTTCCTTTGTACTTCTGACTGCTATTTCATTTTGGAGGTTTTCTTTGGAGGATTTCTCAGTTTTCTCTTTTTTTGTGAATTGTGGCTCTGCTCTGATTCTTTGTTTAGTGGTTACCTTGAGATTTGTATAAAAGATCTTGTAATTGAGATGGTCCCTTTTCTGACAGCCTCTTATCTCCATTAGCCTAAGCAGGTTCCTTCTGTTTCCCTTTCTCCTTCTCAGTTATTGTTGTTACAAATTATTCTGTTTTGTGTTATGAGTTTGTGACTAAGTTGAAGTGTTTATAGGTACTTTTGATGCTTTTCTTCCCCTTTCTTTTAAATTATAATTAAGTATTTGCTTCCCTGTTCTGAAAGACAGCTACTGTTTTCTGATTTTGTCTGTCTATTTATCTCCTTGCTCAAATCTTTTTAAACTTTTGCCTTTTTGTGTCAGGTATGAGGGCATCCTTGATCATTTCTTGTAGTGGAGGTCTAGTGGTGATAAACTTCCTCAGATTTTGTTTATCTGGGAAATCATTTATTTCTCCATCATATCTAAAGGATAATTTTGTTGGATAGAATATTCTTGGCTGAAAGTTTTTGTCTTTCAGTGTTTGACTATATCATTCCATTTTCTCCTAGCCTGTAAGGTTTCTGCTGAGAAATCCGCTGAAAGCTTGACAGGGGTTCCTTTGTAGCTTATTTTCTTCTGCCTTGCTGCCATGAATATTTTTTCTTTGTCGTTGACTTTTGCCAGTTTTACTATTATATGCCTTGGAGAAGGTCTTTTAACATCGATGTAATTAGGAGTGCTATTGTATTTGTGTATCTGTAAGTCTTATTCGTTCCCCAGGTTTGGGAAATTCTCAGGTATTATTTCTTTGAACAAGCTCTCTGCTCCTTTTTCCCTCTCTTCTCTCTCTGGAATAGCTATAATCCTTATGTTGCTTTTCCTAATTGAGTCAGATATTTCTCAAATAATTACTTCATGTTTTAAAAAATCTTAGTTCTCTCTCCTCCTCCACTTGAAGCAATTCTATATTTCTATCCTTCAAATTACTAATTCTTTCCTCCATAACATAAGCTCTATTTTTCAAGTGTTCTAGATTACTTTTTATTTTATTAATTGTATTCTTCATATCCAGAATTTCTGCTTGGTTATTTTTATAGTTTCAATCTCTTTGGTAAAGTATTCCTTCTTCTCATTAATTTTATTCCTGATCTCGTTGAACTATATTTCTGAATTTTCTTGTAACTGTTGAGTTTCTTCATGACAGCTGTTTTGAATTCTCCGTTATTTAGATTGTAAATTTCTGTGACTTCAGGGTTGGTTTCTGGAGAATTGTCATTCTCCTTCTGCTCTGAATTGTTGCTGTAGTTTCCCATGGTGTTTGATGAACTAATGTTTTGACACAGCATTTGTGGTATTATCATGTCACAGATTCCACCTGCTACTTCTGGGGGGAAGCAGGAGCTGTGTTTCTGAACTCACCCCATCTGCTGGAAGTTGTGGGGCATTATGGGTGCTTGCTCTATCTGAGAGAGCATTCACCTGGGTGTGTAGATCTGCTTCTGCTTCTTCTAAAGGTTGCTCCAGCCACTGTGCTTGGTGGGTGGGTCTTCCTCACAGGGTCCAAGCCTAGGCCCCTCATTGAGACCACAGCAGCACTGTGGGCTCTTCCACCAGATGGGAAAGTGATCATGCAGGGGCTCAGGGCTGCCATCGCCTGCTCCCACAGTCATGCTGAGGTGTCGTCCCACCTTCAGAGCTGCACTGGTACTATGAGCATTTGCACCAGATGGGAAATTGTTCACCCAGGCATCCAGATCTGCCACCGCCTCTTCCTGTGGTTGCACCAGCCATTGTGCTTGGTGTGTGGGGCCTCCTCACAGGGTCTGAGCCTGGGCCACTCCCTGGGACCACGGCAACACTGTGGGTTCTACCACTGGACAGGAAAGTGATCACACGGGGGCTCAGAGCTGCCATCACCTGTTCCCACAGTTATGCTGAGGTGTTCTCCCACCCTCAGGGCCACAGCAGTACTATTGGCATTCGCACCAGCTGGGAGAGCAGTCTTGCACATGCACATGGCTACCGGGGGCCTGGAGAGTGTTCACCTATCTCCACCACCTCTCTGGGGGTAGTCTATCCACCTTTACTTATGTAGCTGTGCTAGTCTCTCAGGCATCCTGTTGTGCTGTTTGGGTGTCCTCCATTGATCAATGAATGTCAATTTAGTTGTAGCTCAAAGGGGGAGAGATAAAGGGAGCAGTTCACTCGGCCATGTGGCTGACATCACTCCTCTATTTAAGATTTTTTCAAGCTGACATAGGGAATTTGTTTTGTAGAAAAGCAATATCTAGAGAATGCCCCTGACAGCCCTAGTATGTCTAAAGGATTATATACAAAAATGACAGTTTCTCATAATGACAACACTGAAGCACTGAAAGATATACTGAAAGATTATATGAGTATATTCTATCAAACAATTAGCTCAGTTTATAAAATTTAAATTTGTATGTGTATACTATATGAAGCACTGTTTATTCTCTTTCTCTGTCACGCACAAGTTAGGAGCAGCCCTGTTCCCTATGCATCCAACATACAATGGTCAATCATGAAATAATCATAACTGAAATAATCCCTAACACAAGAACAGATGAAAGGGAGGAGACACATACCAGTCACTGGTCTAGAGCAAATGTGAAATTCTACCAGGGAAATGTGGCAAGTTTCATCCACTGTTATGGTTAATTTTATGTTTCAACTTGAGTGGGCTAAGGGATGTCCAGATATCTGGTAAAACAATTTGTGTGTGTCTTTAAGTTGTCTAAAGCAAATCCATAACTTTAACTGATGATGTTTATTAATAATAAATAACATTGAAATAAGGCATATGTGGATAGTGTAGAACATTAAGGTATTTAAAATATATACAATACATTTTAAAATCATTAAATGTTAATGATGTTGCCAATCCTAGTAGAGAAATATGGATATTATTAATACTTAAATGAAAGCAAGTTTATATTTTTAATCTTTGAACTTATCACTTCAAGTCTGGAAATATAAATGGCTAGAACTTGAATTGAAAGAAAGAGTATATCATTAGTAAGGAGAAAACTTGCTGAAAATCCAATTTGGCAATATTTTAATGTCTATTTCCAGAAAGTACAGGTAAACAAGGACGTATGCTGGCACAGAATAATTTTCATTCTTAGATCTAAAGTTCAAGGAGTGTTCTGACTATACAAAGAAGAAAACATTGAGCAGAAAATTCTTCTTGAAAATTCTGTTGACTACTGTTTCTTAAGTTCACATTTATAAATATTTATCCACATAAATCTCTTTTAATCCCTGTAGTTTCTGAAATTCTTGACTATTTTCTGTCACAGAAATTCACAGTTAATCCTTTACCTGTATGTCTGCATACCTTTTGTGCTTTAAATAAAACAAGAGAGTTGGCAGTTTTAGGATACCCAGGCATAGTCATGATGGAGGAATAAATGGGACGATTTTTTTTTCTCTCTGTTATTGTTCACAAATCTCTTTGGAATATTACTCTAAGGGCAATAGGACCAATGAGTCACAATTCTTTCTAAGTATCATTTGACAATGAATGGGATAAATGGGCCAGGCAAGGATCCAGAGTTTCATAAACCAAAACGAGGTGTGAAGAAAGAAAAATGACAGTTTGTTCTAAAAATTGTTAGCTTTATTAAAATTTTCTTTGTTCACTCCACTTCTTAACATATTGAATTACATTTGCAAACCCATTTACAGAATTCTCTCCTCCATAGACAGTTTATAAATATGCTCCAAAATTTCTAGCTGTTTATGTAACGAATATATGGAGTATCTACCAAGGGGCAGGTACCATGATGGGAAGTGAAGCTAAATTGAGAAGTGAAAGTACAGTTACTAAATTTTTAGAGCTTATAAGCTTAGAATGAATTAAGAGAAGTAACCAATAATCAAAGTACAATATTGAGTATGCTCTCACTTGTAGAAAAATATTTTGTATCTATAGAAACTGCTTTATGCTTTATAGGTATAGATAATTTGAAAGCATTTAACTTTATGAAGAAAATTGGGCACAAAGGGAGAAGGGGTCCTTATTGTTATCTGTGTGCACTTCCATACATTTGAAATATTTTCATATGTATGTATTTCTAATCCTATTAAAATAAACTGGTTAACAATAAAAAGCAAAACAAAAATACAGATTTGAAGATGCCATGACAGCGGGAGTATGGGTTCTTGTTGAAACACAAACAGTTCAGGCAGAGAATCTTCTCAGAGGAAAAGCCATCTGTGTGTAAGATGAAACTTTGAAACATGCATGGGAGATAGGAAAGAAACAGAAAGTGATGAGTAGATTGTAGGAGACTGGGGAAGAAGGCCAGAAAGGAGAGTGCTTCACGGAGAGAAAAGAACCACAGGATGAGGACAGGGAACACTTGGGAAAGAAAGAGAGATGTGTGCAATGTACCATTGTATGTATATACCATGGTATGGACAGTACAAATAAAGAAGCCCACAGACGAATGCTCCTCATGAATACAGATGCAGAAATCTTTAACAGAATATTAGCAAATAAAATTCAGCAATAAATAAATGTAATAATATGCCAGGGCTAATTGGGGTTTATTGTAAGAATGAAAAGCTGGTTCAATATTTGACAGTAAATCAATGTAATTCACCATAACAGGCTTAAGAAATAAAAATCACATAATCATATCAATTGATGCAGGAAAAGCTTTTGAAAAATTAATCAGACATTCCTGATTAAAAACCCCAGAAAAATAGCCTAAGGTAGTACTTCTCAACTAGATAAGTGTTGCCTACCAAAAAAGAAAAAAAATCTACAGTTAACATTATCCTTAGTGCTGAAAGACTGAATGCTTTCTCCTTAAGATCAGGAACAAAACAACAATGTTAGATTTATATCTAAGTACTTTTTTTTAAGTAACTGTGAAAGGTACTACATTTTTATTTTCTATTTGTTCATTTCCAATGTGTAGAAATACATTTGATTTCTGTATGTTGTACCCTGCAAAATTTCTGAACTCAATTAACTACATATGGGATTTTTTTTCCAGTTCTGGTTCTTGAAATAGAAACATTATAGAAATAGAGAACAAATCAGTAGTGGTTGCCAGATGTTAAGAATGGGAGGAGCAGGAGGTGGTGGGTATTGCTATAAAAGGGCTACAGGAAAGATTCTTTTGGTGATAGAAATATTCTGTATCTTTACTGTATTAATGTCAATATCATAGTTGCATTATTGTACTATAGTTCTTCAAGACATTACCATTGGGGGAAACTGAGTAAAGGGTACAGACATCTCTCAGTGTTCTTCATCACAATTGCATGTGAATCTACTTTTTATTTCAAAATGAACATATATAATTTCAAAAAGCTGATTGAGTTAGAGTAGTGAGAAGGGATTTTCCACAGTTCCAGCGAGATAATGATAATTTTTTCTATGGGATAGCTGTAGACATGAGACATATCAATAATACAAAATTATTAGGACTTGGTGACAAACTTTACGTGAAAAGTTAAAGCAGTGTCATAGTCGACCTTTTGTTTCTGGCTTGTCCAGCTCTAGGGTTAGGGATATGTTTCCTGGAAACAGGAAATGCAGAAGGAGGGTGTGTCACTACAAGATGCCTTTGGAAATCCACGTAGTTGAACAGCTGAGTCTGGATCCCAGAGGAAGATGTTCTCTAGAGATGTAAAGTTGTGAACCGTCCGCCAACATTCGGTAATTGAAATAGGAATATACATGAAATCACGTAGGAAGTTACTACAGAATGAAAAGAAAGAGAAACCTGGATCTTAGATTTCAGGGAGGTGAGCAACAAAAGAGTCTGAGACACTTTAGACAGGAAATAAAAAAGAATATAAAGGATGTAAAATTATGGAAATAAAGAGTGTAGAAAAATCTCTCAAAATATAAATTAGTTGAAAATATAAATTAGTTGTTAGGTTTCTATATATACATGCATATATATATATACACACACACACATATATACGCACTTTGTGTGTGCATGTGTGTGTGTGTAGTGTTTTAAAATCCACCTTTTACTTACTAAACAGTGACTTTTTTCTTTTTAAACATCCTATTTCACCTTTATAAACCACTAGGAGGTCATATTGTCAGTTACTTTCTGGCCCGTATAAGCAATAATGCGAAGTTCGTAAAAACAGTGGCGTTGGTTTGAGAATTGATCAAACATTTAGGAAAGAAGGTAACGTTTTCTAAAGACCCCGACCTCCTTCTTTCTTATCGCATTGTCTCTTACCCATTTGGCACACCTTCCTTGGGTGCCATATGCACGTATCAATGCTTTTGACAAATAAAGATAAAAGGGGAAAGTTTTGCTCTGACAGATGGTAAGATATATTACCAATCTAGTAATGAGAAGATTAGAATTGGCACATGCACAGACAAACAGATGAAAGGACTGAGTAAAACTCAGGGAGAAACACATAAATATTTGGAAATGTAATGTACAATATATTTAGTACCGTAAATCAGTGGGGCAAATGCAAGTGTTGAAAGGAGAGGGGCGGAAATGATTCCCTGCCTAATACCAGCCACATGGGTGGATTCTCAATGTGTTTAAGACTAAAACGTGAAATATAAAATCGTAAGTTTAATAGAAAAAATTATAGGAAAATATCTTTGTAAGCTCGGTAGGGGAAATAACATGTTAAACAGAACTTTAAAATCACAAAGCATATGGCAAAAACTGATGAATGTGATTAAAGCAATCAGAGCTCTACATTCAGCAAACGATATAGAAATTATAAAAATGCACACACAAAAAGACTGTATGCATTGTTTTACCAAAGACAAGTAGAAACAAGTATTTTGTTTCTATGCATTAAACATATTAGAATGCTGAGTATGAGTAAGGTGACCTTTCAGTCCATTTCTGATTTTGCCACTGTCCTTCTCAAAAATGTATCCCAGTTTGAACAATAAATTATGTGTCCAATGGCTGGAGAATGGGGAATAGATTGGAGTATGGAGATAAAAGAAAAAAATGCACGTACAGTGGTGTGCTGGAAAATGTTTAGTGACCTTTTCTGAAAAAAATATGTACATGTACATATATAAGCTTATCATGAATTTTACGGCACACAATTTACCCAAATAATAAAATTTAAAGTACTCTTTATTGTAAATTTCATATACCCAAATGCAGTCTCACAGTATACTTTTGTTGATTTTGGCCATGTCCTTGGGTATTTATCGCCAAACTAGGTTTTCAATTCAACCATGATTTGACAAATACAGTTGCATCCCATTTCGTGAACTCTTTTTCCAATAATTTACTGTCCCTAAATCTGATATAGAATCTACTGTTAAGCTATTGCTACCCCTAATGCAAATTTTATTCATAAAATGAAACTACCTTCAGCTTCAGCTCTGCATTTGCCTGGATTTCACTTGGTCACCAATGACGTGACCAACTTCTTCATTGAATCAGTTAATAGTTTCAAATAATGGAAGAAGAATCTCTTTTTTTGTATGCTATTCACAATGTAGAATTTATAGACATTACACATTTTTAAGTTTATCTTGCATTCCTAACATTTTCTCCATCACATTAAATTTAAACAATAAATTGAAAAGTAAATAAAGCCCTGATTTGTAGAATTTACCAATTCCCATGGTATAAATATTCCTACTTTGGCTAATTCCAAGCAACCAACATGATGTTATTGAATAAGGAGTTTACAGTTGCACACTTGAGTATATTTCCACTATACAGATGCTACAGACATAAATAAATCAAAAATATAGAAAATAGTAAAATAATTAGAAAGTGATGAGTTCTGAGTATGTATCACATTATTTTAACATAATTTACTTAATTGCAAATGCAAATTTATATATTTTAATTTAAAATGGCAGTGTATGACAGCTCACAAAATTCCTGAAAATTTAACAATCGCTTCTTGAGTGGCAGTTTGAGCCACCTCTATCAGACTGCTGATTACAAATACATACGTAAAACACACCGTTTAACTCTCCCTGACTTTCTAATTCAGCATAGTGAGGCCTGAAGAGACTTCTTTGTCTCATCTCATTAAAGCTCACACTCTTTCAACATCTTAATTCTTAGCAGAAATGCAATCTTATTATACTTGATCACAGGATTAATTTAGTAAGATATGTCTTCTTGAACTGGACATGGACTTCCTGGGTCTCTGACCAGGAACAAGTTCTCTCTCTTCCATCCATTTCTGATTCCACTTGATCTCTGCTTTGAGGTTTGTCGTCTTTTGTTCTGTTTTTGACAGTGGCCATCTCCCTCCACGACAGCTCCGGTAGAGTGGCGCCTCCTTTTTGAGTCCAGAAGTCACAGAGCCCCCAAAAATCTATTTTCCCTCCTGGCTCTCTCCCATATATGATATAACAGCTTTTCACTGTTCATCGCTGGGTGCATTGTCACCCTGCGTGGTTTCCCTAACCCTGACCACGTCCTCTGTTATCTTCTCAACCACCCATGCAGGATTGTGTTTCTTACTAGGATGATGACCGATACAACTCTAAAAGGAGAGGGTTCAACTGGGCAACTTAGAAGGTCGTTTCTAACCCCATAGTCACAAAGTCTAAGATTCATTAAGGTTAATTTTCCAGAAAACACTTTTATTAATAACAATTTAAAATATTAAAATGATGAGTTCCTACCTAAACAAAGCAGAACTTGGAAAAGGATATTGAATCAAAGATAGACCATATTTCAAAAATATGCAATGACATGAAGGAGACAAATATGTAAATAATTATGACAAATATAAAAGCCATATAATAGAAAAGATCAGTTAGATAAGCTAAGTGAATTACTCATTGATAGTAGATATCTAAAACAGATGGTTGGGGTATGTATTCTTGTTTGTTTGTTTTTCTCCACATACACATATTTTTTTGTTCATCTGTATATCCAGGTTTCTCCATATTGGCACTACTAACATTTTAAGCTGGATAATTTTGTTGTTGTAGTGGGGATTGTCCTGTAAAATATAGACTAGTTGCTAGTATACCTGGCCTACAACCACTAGCTACTAGTAGCTTTTCCCCCAGTTGTGACAACAAAAATGTTTCCAGACGTTGCCAAATGTCCTCACGGGAACAAAATTCCCCTTGGTTCAGAACCACTAATTATATGATTACACACATATGTATAGATAGATAGATAAATAGAGATATAGATGCCAAAGAGGACTTGAAAAATAATTTCTTTAGAGTCCTATATTCAATACTATTCTACATTTTTATTAGCTTGCATATTAATGCATACTCTAATGCTTCTGATTGGAAACATTTATTTAAGTGATATATATGTATATATATATCATATAAGACATAAATCTCTATATTAGAGTTTTAGGTTAGCCAGGTGTTTTACTAGAATTAAGTTTCTTTGGGGCAGAAAGAATGAATTATCTAACTTTCATTTCCTAGCACCTAGCGCAGTCCTTTACATAGTATAGAAAATTTTCTTTATAAACTTGAAATAAATTTTAGTGTAGTTTGGATGATTTTAAAGGCTGACTTGGATGAAGTTTTTATGTTACATTTCAGGCAATTTAGAACCCTTTAAAACTTTTGAGGCAAGGGTTAACCTCATCTTATCTATGCTTAAGGATAAATAATGCTAATGGCAATGTGTGGTGTTGGAGACAGCTAAACCCAGAGGGGCATGAACTCTGACACAGGAGGTCATGGGTCAAGCCCTTAATTAACCAACCGTTTTATTAATGTTGGGAAGACCCTGGATCTTTCCTCATCTATGAAGAATATTCTAAGATCATTTTAAATTGGCCGTTGTAAGACCTTTAGATGAGTTACTGTTGCGATGCAGTTTAGACAAGAAGTATTATGGAGGCTTTAAGGTGTGGTGATGAGCTGTGGTAGTGGGAGGGGACAGAACTGAAATGAACAATGAACGTAAGGAGCAATGTGGAGATAAAATTAACCTCATCTTCTAATCATGATTTATAATCTTTATCCCTTTTCCATCTAACACCTTCTGTACTACATGCTGCTGGTTAGTTATCTCTAGAATGAATATACAAGTAGAGATGCTGACAAAACCAAAAACTTAAAAATAAACATCCTGCACCGTGTGTGCATGAGCTTTCTGTCACCATCCAGAGAGAGATCGTGAAATGCGACAGCACGTAGGTCGCGCTTTCTCAGAGATGTAACTTTTAAAAAGCGAGTGAGAAATAAAAAGTAACAAGATACCATATCCTGCTGCATCATCTTGAATGAAAGACGGTCATTTACATAGTCATTTTCTACAGCCATTTCCAGGTTTGAAGTGCCATTGTCAGTAAAAATTCTACTTAAATCGACATTTATTTATCTCCTCTACAGCTGATTCTAACTATTCCTGTGGCTTACGAATCCTCTTTGCTCTGAACCTTGTCCTATCTTGGCGGTGGAATTTGGTGATCAGCATAATGTGGGAGCTAGCTCTGTGTTAAACTAAATATTTCTCAACATTTTAGGATTATCTTATAGTAAAGTATTTCCTCCTATGCTGTGACACATTTACTGTATGTTCTGACAAATTTAATCAACTAAATTTCCTTTCAATATCATATATTCCTCTCCCATTTCCAACTACTGCATCTTTCTCACCCAAAATTATTACTATTTGTAGAACTCCCCTACCACTGACATAAAAACTGCTATTTTCCAGGGAGTCTAAAAGTGACCCATAGAAAGTATGATATGGAATTTATTTAGAGATAAATATATACACTATATGTATTCCTCATCTTGCCTAAATTCTGAGAGAAGTAAAATGCAAAATGATGTATTCTTATGTAAATGTAAATTTGAATTGAATGTACACGTTTTACTTACGTTATTAAGATGTTGTTTTTTTAAATTGAGATATAATCGACATATTATATTATTTTCAGATGTAAAACATAATGCTATGATATTTGTATGTATGGTGAAATGATCACCACCATAACTCTAGTTAACATCTATCACCATATAGTTACAAAAATGTTTTCTCTTGTGATGAAAACTTTTAAGATCTACTCTTTTAGCAACTCTCAAATATACAACGCAAGATTATTAACCATGGCGCCATGCTTACCTTACATCCCCGGGGCTTATTTTTTTTATAAGTGGAAGTTCGTACCATTTGACCCGCTTCACCCATTTCGCCGAACCCCACACTGCCTCTGACAACCACCAATCGGTTCTCTGTATCTATGAGCTTGTTTTTTCTTTTTTTTTTTTAGATTCCACATGTAAGTGAGACCATATAATATTTGTCTTTCTCTTTCTGACTTATTTCACTTAGCATAATGCCCTGAAGATCTATTCACGTGGTTGCAAATTGCAAGATTTTCTGCTTTTTTTATGGCTGAATAATATTGCATTGTGTATATATACCACACTTTCTTTATCCCTTCATCATTAATGGACATTTAGGTTGCTTCCATGTCCTGGCTGTTTTAAATAATGCTGCAGTGAACACAGGATGCATCTATCTTTTTGAGTTAGCATTTTTGTTTTCTTCAGAAAACATACCCAGAAGTGGAATTGCCAGATCATATGGTAATTCTATTTTTAATTTTTTTGAGGAATCTCCATACTGTTTTATTGTGGATATATATATATAAGGCTTATATTTGTTGTAAAAAAATAGAACAGTAAAAAAGTATGTAAAATTACAAAATCCAACTCTCTAGGGATAAACTCAATTAATAGACACACATGTCTTTTCAGACCATTCTGTAACACACATACACATGTGTACACACACATTTTATGCAAATAGATGTAATGCATAATGCACATACTGTTATGCAAATTGGTTTTTAAAAATTCAATAATATAACATGGTCATCTTTCCATATTAGGCACAGAGAACTAGCTCATTATTTTTTAATAGCTTTATAAGTATTCCATAGTATGATTTCTTTTCACTTTTAACATATGGGGAAAAAAACAACAAAAATAAATGGTTATAAATGATTCTAAATGTTCTTTACTATGCCTGTATTTCTAAAAACCTCTTAAGTCAAGGCTGATTGTAGACTTTTTTCAAAAGGTTCTTCTTTGATGAATAGCACCACAGTGACACTGAAGAAAGATGCTTCAGCTGAAGTGGTAGCTGTCATCTTTAACTCACAGTTGATGAACGGACCTGAAACCCTGGGAGTTCCTATGAGGATGGTTATACCTCAAGGATGGTAGGCAATAGTGTTTGCTTTTGTGACTGTTGTTCTTATTAAAAAAATTTCAAAAACATCCAGTTATTCAAACATTACTTTAAATGGAGTATATTTGAGTTGAACAATATATAGATAAATATATGATATTGTTTCTAAATTCCTATCAATGAATGTTATATAATTTGTATAAGTGAAAAGTCAGGAAAAAGAATTTAAAACGTCCCATGTAATAATCCCCCATTTTTCCTTTTTAAAGTCCATAAGTGTTTTCTCATTTATATTTCATGATATAATACCAGAATCAATAAAATTTGCAATATAACTAAAGACCATTTATTGTTTCTAATTTCTGCCCTACATATAGTAAGAGGGGTAATCATATTCTTTTGACTGCTGGGTGTTTTAATATTTCCCTGTTTTATGGAAATTTATACATAGTCATTGCTTTGCACCAAACTGTGTCACCTTTCATTTCCTTTTACTCTCTTTAAATTCAGTTCATTGTGATGGAAAATGTTATGAAAAATATATGTATTACTTGGATCTCAAGGCTTTGCTAAACTACAAACATGAGTAAAAATTTATGACTATCACATACCTAATTGCTATGACAATTGCTATGAGAGCTCATAAATAAAATAAAAGCAAAAAAAAACAAATAAACAAAAAATTATAAAAACCTGACATCTAGTACAAAAAGCTCTGAGGAACTCTAGTTAGGGGTGGAAGCTGAAACAGCTTCACAGAAGTATCACAGGAAAAACGATGAAACCCACGCACCAAAGTTTGCTTCTAAAACTTGTTTGGTTGAGTAGTAGTCCTGTCTGCGTCAACCAAAGTTAATCTCATTGCTACTGCAACAAAAGGGAAGTTTTCTGCCAGAGAAAGGCAAAGATGCCACCTAGAACCCAGAGACATTCTAAGATTTCGGTGACTACATCCTTTGAGGCAGGAAGAAAAAAGGTATTATTCTTGTTGTAGGATTTCAGTGAGTATTTTGACAGTGCGGACAGATTTCAGAAGGTGGCTATACCGGAAAATTTTAACAGTAGAAGGATGGAAATAGCAAATAATAATATTTGTTATTATTTGTTATTATTATTTAACAATATAATATTGTTATTATTATTTGAAAATTAATAACAAGAATACTGCAGAGTGGTAGTAGTAGCAATTTTTAAAATGAGGATGTGGGGAGAAAGAGCTACTTTACTCAGGCTCTACTTGCATTTGATACCGTGTAGTTGATCACACAGTGGGTTCTATTAAGGACATTGGCTGGTTTTGTTCCTTTACTTTGGGGAGCAACAGGGAGTTGAAATTATTTGTGAGTAAAGCAGAGTGAGATGGCTCCAGAATTGGCCTGCAGAGGGCCTCAGCCACCACCTTTGTGAAGCCGTTCTTGGGAAGAAGCCATCTGTCCTGTATCTGGTCGTCTCCTCTCTTGGCTCCTGGCAGGCTTTTCAGTCCCAAGAAAGTGAAATCTGTAATGACTGGAAGAAGTTTAGAACACGCCACCTCAAAATATGCCTCTCTGGTACTTGAAAAACAGCAAATACAAGAAAAACACTCTGACCTTCCTTCTTGTTTTTAAAAGCAAGAGATGGAATTCCCATACTCAAGACGTCCTCCTGTACCTGAAGGAAAGTGACATTCTTATTATAAAGGATTAGAAGTTGAGGCCCAGAGGATTCTATACAAACAGACCTCATTAAAATAGTTCTTATTTTCCTCTAGCCACCAACAGAGTTCAGCCACTTTTCCACAATCGCCTCTCCCTGTTCAACCTAGTATGAAAGCAAGCAGGTCTCGCCATTTCTTTGTGTCTTCATTCCTTATGAGGGCTCCTGTGTCACATACAATTTATAATAAGTAAATTGGCATGCTTTTCTTCTGTTGTCAGTCTGATGTCAACTTAATTCTCAGGTTCAGCCAAAAAGAACACAAAGAGGATAAAGGTAAAAGTTGGCCTCCCCTACATATTATCCCACCCTTCCTGCACTCCACAACTGTCTACATCTAACACATCCTCCTCCTGGTGCCCGGGAGGGTCTGGTCCTTCCAGACCAATGCCCAGATTATTAGTGCTGTCCATACCAAGAATGGGCAAGGAAGAACAGGGGTTTAGACGGAAACACTTGGTGAAAGATCCTGTTTGTCTAGGTAATTCAAAGTGGAAAAAGGAGAATAAGTCTGAAAATCTGGGATAAGGGATAGGAGTTGTCTATAGTGTTTTGGCAGGTGAGAGGCTCAAGAAAGTGTGGGGTAAAGAATTTGAATAGTGAGAAAATGGAATACAATTGTTAATGAGATTAATGTTTTAGATTGTACTTAACGTCCTTTTAGGGACCAGAATCAGGGTCTTAGCAATTCTCAATTAATTTTCAGACATTTTTCAGTGTGCTTCTTATTTTTATTGAGATATAATCAACATATATTGTGTAAGTTTAAGGTGTACAGCATGCTGATTTGATATATTTGTATATTGCAATATGATCACCAGCGTAGTGTTAGCTAACACCTCTATCATGTCCCACAATTACCATTTCTTTTTTGTGGTGAGAACATTTAAGATTGAGTTTTCTAGCAAATTTGAAGTATGTAATACAGTATTAACTGTAATCACAATGCTGTGTAGGTGATCTCCACAACTCATCCCTCTTCTAACTGCAAGTTTGTACCCTTTGACCTTTGTAAAATATGAACTGGCTCGTCTAGTAAACCACATGGGCTGAGGCTTAAATAATATTATCTTCTTAAACAGTAACACGAACATGCTAGACATGCTCTCAGCATTGAGATTTCTTACTCTGCAGCCCGTGTACTGTAAATATGTCATGGGAGGCTGAGAATTTATGTCAGATTTGATTATACGAAGGAAGGGGATTTCAGTCTCTCTGAAAGTTCAAACTATTGAAAAGAATTAAAACCCAGGCAAAGGAATTCATTTTCAGAGGGAATCTGCAGATGCATTTCTTTAAGATTGCTTATGGAGATGAGAAATTGAAAGAGCTCACAGGGTTGCCTTTCTGCTGGCTGTTGGAGAGAACATACTAGAAAGGCCCTCATAAGCAACCACGTGGAAAGAAAATGCTAACAGCCTCATGCTTGAGAAAGGAAAAGCCATTGGAAGGTTCCTGGCTTCCAAAGTTCCAGAAAGGTTAGTTGAAAAATGGAGAGAAAGCTGACAGGGGGAAGGCAGAGAGTCTGGAGTCAGTGAGCTTGAAGATATATGATAAACAGTGTGGTGAGAACAGCAAACAAAGAATGAATGGCAGTCCCTAATGACTTCCACGAGAGTGGTTGTTTTTTAGTGCAGCTTTAGTGAAGGCAATAGGGAGATGGAAGAAGAGACTCTGGCAGATGTAACTCAGTAAAATTCTGCTAAGCAATCCTCCAGGTGGCTGAAGGGAGAAAAACAAACAGAAAATACAGGAGGAAAAGAGAATAAGAAAAATGAAGAATATTAGCATCCTTGACATACACACGCACACACACACATACATAGAAGACCATATTCTGCTGATCGCATCCGTGGTTTTTGTTGATGTGGTTTGTAGATTTACTTATTGGGTTTTTCTGGAGCAAGCTGAATTGGAGCTGCTGAGGTTTCCAGGGAAAGTCCCAGAAAGATGAAGGTCCCTCAGCTTCAGCTATTCCAAGTAATACAGTGCAAACAAGCCCAGGAAGGAGAAAAGGAAAGGGAATTTGCGTCTTATCTACTTGTCTCTGAATTAATGTCATGTTTCTCATTGGATTTATTAATAAAATCTGCATGTATTAGTTTTCTATTGCTCCTATAATAAATTACCACATACTTGTAGTGTAAAAAACACAGATGTATTATCTTACAGTTCTACCATAGGTCACAGTTGGACACGGGTTTCAGGGGGCCAAAATCATGATGTTGGCAGGATTAGTTCCTTTCTGGAATCTCTTGGGGAAAATCTGTTTCCTTGCCTTTTCCAACTTTTACAGGCTTCCAACATTCCTTGACCCATGGTTCCCGTCTTTCACTCAAAGCCAGCAAGGTTGCATTTCTCTGACCATTCTTTCGTAGTAACATCATCCTCTGACTCAACCTCAGCAAGTTCTTTAAGTGACAAGTTCTTTAAGTGTGATTAAATTGGGCCCACCTTGATAATTCGTGTTGCTCTCTTATCTCAGTCTTTAACTTTAATCACATCTGCAATGTGTATTTTATAATATAATCTATTTACTATTTCTTGAG